AATCTAGTGGCAGTAAACATCGCTAGCACCCAGGCTTTGGGTGAAATAACATTTCTCAGTAAAAGAAACCAGGAATGCTTGGAGAAATCTCAGATTCCGGGTTTGAGGCAAGAGAGATACAAGATGAGCGAGGAGTATGCTGTCCTACCAATCAGCAAAGAAGCTATGGAAAACTATTGGGACTCAGCCAAAAGGAACTGGAAAACAATCTGTAGATCCTTCTACCAGCTTAAGAATGGAATAAATCAAGCTTCAGTAAGAGTAACCACAATAAACTGAAAAGTGACAAGTAGGTTTAAATCCACAAGTTCATAATGGTTAAAGAAACCAAATCTAATAAATCACCTTTGAAGGATGCTGTTTATTTTGCAAACTGGTACATAGAGGTAAGAATCAAGCATTTATCCTACTTTTCCTATACCTCTGGGTGAAAAACTAGTAAATGAAGAAAAGATTATAGCACTGAAATCACCATTTGGCAGACTCTAAGGAATCAAAGATCTAGGTATTGTGTATCTGTGTTAGGGGGGCCCTTAGCTGGTGTATTAAATCAAGAATATGCAGATTATGTCCTGCTGAAGGAGAAGGCATAAGCCATCCACACAGGGATCAGCAGGTAGCTTCCTCAGCATCAAAGCTCCCACTTTGGGGAAGTGAAAACCCCAGGGTCATTTTGATGAAGCCATAGTTTCCATACACTCAAACGAAGGAAGAAAAATCACATGATTTATTACAAATGCCAGAAACCAAGAGTTGGGGGAGTAGGGGGCACACAAGAAGCCAGGGCAAAGGCAGTCTTCTGTCCCAGGTCAGGAGGGAGCAGGAGCTAGAGAGCAGGGTAGCAAGCACTTATTACTTATAAGGTGGTTGGGGCAGAAGCCACGAACTTTTTCCAGCCTCCACTCTACATGGTTATTTTAAAACTACCCAAGAGAAAGCAAAACAGAAACCTGGGTGGGGATCCTCAGCTCAGGTCTTCATCGAAATATCCAAACTCTGGCATGTACAGTACAGTATAGGGAACATAATAATACTGTAATCACTTTATAGGGTGACAGATGGTGACCAGATTTCTTGTAGGATCATTTCCTGATGTATAAAAATATGAAATCATCTATGATGTACGCCTGAAACTAATAGGATACTGTGTGTCAATTATACCTCAATAAAAAAATAAAATTCCAGAAACAAATATCCAGACTCTGGGTGTAAACAGGGTTGTCATACCAAGAAATGCCTAGCAGCAACTCCAAATAGCAGTTTTTTCATCACAGTGTCTGTGGTTGCTAGCATCAAAAGGAGACAATTGCAACTGTGCCTTTTTTTTTTTAAGATTGTATTTATTTATTTATTTATTTGACAGAAAGAACACAGCAGTGGAAGTGGCAGGCAGAGGGAGAGGGAGAAGTAGGCTCCCCCCTGAGCAGGGAGCCCAACGCAGGGCTTGATCCAGGACCCTGGGATCATGACCTAAGCCAAAAGCAGACGCTTAACTGACTGAGCCACCCAGGCGCCCCCCGACAATTATTTAATAGCAGCCACAGGAAACTCATAATCCAGGTGCTAATACTAGTGGAAGAAAGAAAATAATCACAACGGTAAGAACAGAGGTTATTCGCAGGGGTGGGAGGCTGTGTTCAGGAGGTGCCCCTGGAGTGGTTGGCCGGTCCTCTGTCCTGATGGATGCCAGTTACAAGAGGGTTCGCCTTTTTATAACTCATTAAGCTGTTCATTTGTTTCATGTGGCTTTCTGTATTTGTATTCTATTTGGCAGTTTACAAAAAGGTTTAAGAAATCATACAGAAACCAGTGAAGCTCTTATCTCCCTGTCTGCCTATGCTCAAGGTCCCATACTTCCTTGTCCGGGAGAAGGCTTGTCTCATTTCCTTAATGAGGAAGGTGGGAGGAGAAAGATCTAAAGGGTAGATAGAAGAAGGCTGCAGAAATATGTATCTGGGAAACACAAGTGCCATCCTTGTGTCTCCATCTGCGTGTATACTGAAAGATGTAGTTAACAAGTTTCGGTGTCAGGCAGGCATTGCTAAGAGTGTTCCCAGATTCCATGAGCCCAGTCTTATGTTGGTGAGCAAAAGTGGTAAGGCAAGTGGGTTTTTTGGGAGGCAAGGGAACAAGTGGCTCCATCTCTCCCTATTAAGGCTGAAGTCCACAGCTCTGGCATTTCACATTCCCCTACGAGAACCTGTGTAAGAGAGGCACTTGCAGGTACACAGAGGTAAAAGTTTGTGGTATGGTTTGAATTTCAAAGGTAAAAGTTGAAATATTGGTAATCTTATGCATACAACAGAACACAATTTACATTGATTCTTCCTAAGCCAGCAGAGAACACCCTAAATTGTGGCTTATTGGAATTTAGAATATTCACTGATGGTTTGAGCAAGACGCTCAATACCACTCCAGTGAAGCCCCAAAGAGAATATTACATCTTAAATCAGAAAGCTAAGGCGGGGGTGCCTGAGTGGCTCAGTGGGTTAAAGCCTCTGCCTTCAGCTCAGGTCGTGATCCCAGGGTCCTGGGATTGAGCCCCACATCGGACTCTCTGCTCAGCAGGGACCTGCTTTCTCTCTCTGCCTGCCTCTCTGCCTACTTGTGATCTCTGTCTGCCAAATAAATAAATAAAATCTTTAAAAAAACAAAAGAAAAGAAAGCTAGGGTGGCGCCCCGGTGACTGTCAGTTAAGCAACCCACACTTGTGATCTCCTGGTCCTGAGATCGAGCCCCTCGCTGGGCTCTGCACTGAGCATGGAGCCTGTTTGAGATTTTCTTTCTCCTCTCCCTCTGCCCTCCCCGACTCCCGGCTTGTGCTCTCTAAAAATAAATCAAATAAAATAATATAAAATAAAATAAGAGTTAACAGTTTATGACTCATGATTTCAAAATGCATAGGTGTCCCTGTGGGGGGTAGTTAGGGCATCAGTAGACACAGTCTTGGAAAGAACTAGGCAGACAGAAACCCCAGCTAGCTACGTCTACTAGCACCTAAGAAAAATGAGGCTGTCTTTATAGAGTTTCAAACATTTTCAGACTAATAAAACAGGTGTTTCTGGTTGCTTTGTGTGGGAGGGGTGGGAAAGGCCAGGGGTTGTCTAGGGAACGGACTGTCTACACCTGGCTGCTTCAGCTCCCGCACCGCAGCACGTAAAGCACTACTGCCTGTGTGGGCTGTGAGGCAGCTCAGCTTCCACAACCAAACATCACAGACTGGGCGGCTCAAACAACAAAAGTTTGCTGACAGTTCTGGAGGCTGGAAGTCTGAGAGGAGACCCGGTTCTGGTGAGAGCTCTCCTTCCAGCCTGCGGATGCTGCCTTCTCACCGTGGTGTCACACAGGCAGGGAGAGAGAAAGCTCTCTGGTGTCTCTTAATAGGACGCTAAGCCTGTCTGATCAGCGCCGTACCCTTACAAGCTCAGTTAACCTGAGTTACTTCCAGAAGAGGTACTTCCTACCTCTACAGTCACACTGGGGTTAAGGGCTTCAGCCTAGGCATTTTGGGGGACACAAACATTCAGTCCTTACCACAAGCATATATTTACATGAATGTGAAAACGGAGGCTAACGTCTAGATGCTAACCCTATTTCAGTTGCTGCTCAAAACTAAAAATATGACTTGTGAGAAACTGCTAACTTGTTTATTTTATTTATTTATTTAAAGAGGTGGGTGGGGGTGAGGAACAGAGGGAGAGGGAGAGAGAGAATCGTAGGCAGGCTGTCCACCCAGCATGGAGCCCCACACAGGTCTCCATTTCACATCTCAGATCCTGACCTGAGGAGAACTCCGGAGTCAGATGCTTAGCCGACTGAGCTCCCCCACCACCCCCAGGCACCTTGAGAAACAGTAACTTTAAAATTTGGATACTTATAGTTCTCTTAATTCAGTCATACTTAAAATCATCTCCACAATTTTAATTATTTTGCAAAATAGTGCTGGCCCTTCCAAAGCCATGGTTTGCATTTAATTATAGTAAAATATTTTTCACTCATACTACAGTGATTTGGAACTTGGGATAATTCTGACGGAAGTGTTTACCTTACCTTCCCTGACACTTTCTTGTGTGCAGAGAGCAATAGCAAAAACAGAATTTTACAGAAAATAGGCACAATACATTAAATACCTCAGGCCACAAACTATTTTCAAGATCTTTCAAGTATCTGAGGAATGCTTTTTTGTAAAAATAACCAATACCATCACCTTTCTTAAAAAAGTACACTGGAGAGACAAATGAAATACTAGGACTTGGAAAAAAAACAAACAAAGAATAAGATATGATCCATGAACTCAAAATTGTATATACTTCACATATATAATGATAAATTCTTTAAATGTGACAATGGGAGTTTTACTGGGGCTGAGCCGCAGGGAAGAATTCCCAGAGGCTGGACTCGAGTCAGGATTCTATAGGACCTAGGTAAGCTAAAAGCAGAGGAAGGTGATTGCAGCTGTTTTCATCTATTCCATAAAACAGATCTCTAAAACATTACTGGACATCACATGACTGGCCCAGCATTAATTGCTAAGTGTTCTTAAAAGCAATGAAAGGGTCTATAATCCAATTATAGATTGAAATAGTCTATAACTCAATGGTTTCACTAACTCTGACTGTCCTTTGACTCGCTCAGGCCAAATTCAAGCAGTTTTACCACATATACAGTGATTTACTTATTTTTATTGAAAACACAAATATTAAAGAAAACCATTTAAATAAATTAAAAATCATTCCACATCCCCCTACACTAACACAAAGGATTTGTTTTGCATATTACCTTCCACATGCAAAAAGATTTTACGAAGTCACAATCATAGAACGCATACTCTTTTCTATTGTGCTTATTTGACTTACCGTATCATAGACACAACCATGTTTTTACAGTCTTCCAAATAATTATTTTAATGGCTGTGTGATACTTCATTATTTTATCAGCCCACTTTCTTCTTTGACACATAGACTATTTCCAATTTTTTTGCTATTATAAATAATGCAGACATAAACATCCTCATGCATTTCCCTTTGTTTTGTTTTTATATTATTCTTTATGTTACAAATCTAGGAGTAGAATTTATGCGGTAGAGATATGGCCCTTTTTTGGGCTCCTTCTATGTGGTACCATATTGCATTCCTAAAAGGTTGTGTCTATTTAAAATGCCACCTGAAATGAATGCATTGAACAGTCTCTTTCTTTAAAAAAAGAAAAAAAAATCAGAAGCATTAGGTAGTTTTCAACTTTCATGTTTTAAGTTAAAAAATAATTACTGTGTCTTTAAGAAAATGAAGAGTGTGGAGAGATGGTCTACCAGATCACTAAAACTTCAGCTAACTTAAGCAGTGCTTCCCAACTTTTAACAAGTTTTGGCACACACAGAAAGTAATACTGCAGGCACACTGGGGAAAGTGGACAAAGGTGTTTCTGCTCAGAAGCTCCAACCACCCAGGCTACCTCTAGCTGCCCCAGAGGTTATGGGGACCTACATGTAGGCACATCTGTGGCCCAAAGTCCATGGGTCATGAAGCTCTAATCAGGGAGAGGTTAAGTGACTGTGACTCAATTCAAGTTACAAAAAAATCTAGTTAGTGGCACAGCTGGGAAATGAATGCAAATTTCTTCTCATCAATGTATTTTCTATTACATCACAACTGTTCTACATGCCTTCTGGCTCTAAAAGTCAATTTTGTATGCAGTAATGTATCTACACTTATGAATAAAGAGGATTTTTCTAACATGCTTGAACTAAAGACACCTAAACTAGCAATTTACATCAAGGCTGAAAATTAAAAATAGTTCTTAGCATTAGCAAATATTTAACTATTTTCTCTGCAAATGTTCAGATTTGCTATTCTTTAAAATTTAGTTTGTAAACTCTGAACAGTAATAATCTTTTGCACAGTATCTTTTATACCTCAAGCAGTCAGCAAATAAAGAACAATAAATTATACCCACTACAAAGAAAAAAAGACTTAAAATAAGTCCACATTCTAAACACATCTAACCATGGAAAAATGCTGTTTAAAGTGTTGATTTTGTAGAGGTAGAGAAGAGTCCCTCCTTAAAATTTCAAATTCTCTGCTAGCTAAATGGAACCTTAATATACACTAGTACATTACAGGGTCAGAAGAGATATTTCGTTCCAAAGAATGGTTCTGACCTGCACCCAGTGTTGATGCTACCAGGAGAATAATTCACTACAAAGGTATTTCACTTTTTGCCAAGTGTCCAAAATTCCATATTACCTTGAAAAGCAGAGATTATAGGGTGTTAACCCTACTGATTCAAATGTAAATACACATAGGATTTTTCCATTAATCACTGCCTTAAGGTGAAGAGTTGGGGTTAGACATGGGAATTCACCCATTATGTGCCAGGCCACAACGATAAGTAAGGGACTCCAAATCCCAAATTCTGTCTCTCTTTCTCTGTCTCTTTTTTTTATTACACCCTAAAACAGTGATTACTGGGTCCACTTCTATGGATTCAATCAGACATTATACACACAAACACACCCATGGGACCGCATGGCGCTTGGAAGATTGCCCACTATTTCCCACTTATTAAGATCTGGATCATATTTCTCAATGCTCTGAAGATATGTTCCCTTCGAGTAGGAATATCCCCCAGTGACATAAATACATCCATTCATGATGACGGCACCACACTCCATCCTCCTTTCCATCATGGGAGCTATTTCTCTCCATTCATTTTGTTCAGGGTCATAGCATTCCGTGATTGTAGTCTGTCCGCCAACTAGGTAGAGCTTATTTTCAAATGGAACTGAACACAATCCATATTCTATTAAAAAGAAAAAAAGCAAAATTTTATTAGGATAACAAACAGAGATCCCTTAGGCTGGTGATGTAAGAATCCCTTACAATGCAGCATACAAAAATCGAGTCGTCTTGACATTCTGATTCCACTACCACAATACTGAGCCTTAAAATCGATCCCCTATCACCCGATTCAGACTGCCTCTCTCTGCCATTCTCTCTCAGGTGGTCCCTCCTCTAGCTTTACAGGGTGCCAGGGAGGAAGTCCTCCTCAGACCACTACCCAGCACAGACACCTTTTATTCTACACTCTGGGTACAAGTTGTGGAGACCCCCTGACATTCTGACGTGAAGACGTGTGAGGGAACTGGTGTAGGCTCCTTCAGGTCTTAGTGGCCACCCCTACAACCAGGGGCAGGCACTCTGTAGCGTCTGCAGTGCCGGGGGCAGGATGAAGGACCTGGCTTGCCTCTCTCACACTGCTGCTCAAAAAAGACAAAACCAGTCTAGTGGGGATCTAGAGTCTATGATCCTAAGAGACCAAAAGCAGCTCAAAGGCAGACAGCTGCTGTGTGGGGTCTGGATCCCGGGCTGGGAGTCTGCCTCTGGAGTTGGGAGGAGGTGGGTCAGCCTTCTGGGCTGTTTTAATTTTTCCCATATTATTTATTCCTCTCCCTCCGCTCCCTGCCACCCACAGGCAATCAAGGCACCCAGCTCTTCTGGAACCTCACTTCCTCTCCCTTCCCAGCACTGTCCCGCAGGCGACGCAGGCGACGCAGGCGAGGCAGGCGAGGCGAGGCGTCCAAGGTACCAAATGCAAGGCTGCTGCTCTCATTCTCTGAGGGACTCGGACTCTGTGCCTCTGGCATCGCTCTTGACTCACCCTGGTCACAGCCGTGCTTCTTCCTTGTCCCCCTTTCCAGCACCACTACTAACCTGTGAGTTCATTCTCTGGGAATACCAACCATAGGATTACACTTAAACACCCCTAGCTGCAGGCTGGGAGAAGGAGCAGGACTTGTCAGGGGCCCGAACGTTATGGCAAATAAATGAAGACTCAGTTTGCTATTGCTGAGGGCTTCCTCCTGCCTAGAAACTTCTGCTCCCAGGACTTGGCACAGCCACCCCCTTCTTGTCATCCAGATCTCATTTTACGGTCATCTCCTCAGAGGGCCCTCCCCTAAATACCCAGCTTGACGTGGCCAGGCAGACATCCCCACCACCTCACCCGCTTTCATGTTCTCCACAACACTTCTCACTGTCTGACGTTTCTTGGTGACTGTCCGTCTCCCCTCCGACAGTGTAGGACCTGCATCCTGCCCATTATTCCATCCCTGTTGGGGAATGGCAAGTGTCTGGAACCTTGTAAGGACTCATTAAAGTTTGTTGGATCAATGAATGAATTGGAACTTGTACCCTCTGCACCCAAATGTGCACTCCCATTATTTTGTGGGGAAAAATCAAAGCTTATAAGCCCCCCTTCAGAAAGAGGGAATGTATAATAAAAATGTGATTTCCCCTTTAAGAAGGTAAGCACATTCTTATCAGTAAAGTTCTTGCTATCTCGGTTTCAAAGGCTAAGGAAAAATCTCAGAAGATGAGTCCACATACTGTTGTTCTCAAGTATCTGACAGCGAGGAAAACAAGAATTCTCTTACCCCTGTAAAGCCCCATTTATTTTACCCGGGTTTCCAGTTATTATACATGCAGAAGTTTTGTAGAATTTGTTTTGGTACTTGTGAAACGTTGTTTATGTAAATTATATGAATGAGTCTATCAAATGGTTGTGAAAATTAATAATTCAGAAATTTTATCAGTTGGTGTGATTCAACGAGTTCACTAGGCTTTTCTCAAATTTCAAAGTTTAGCAAAAAATCCTCAATTTGTGGTTCTTAAGAAAAATATCTTGATCTTCCTATAGCAGGAAAAATGTTTAAAATAAGGTGATTCCTGGGGCACCTGGTTGGCTCAGATGGAAGAGCATGCAACTCTTGATCTTAGCGTTGTGAGTTCAAGCCCCATGTTCTGTATGGAGATTACTCAAATAAATAAACTTTAAAGAACAGAAAAAAATAAATAAAATAAGGTGTTTCCTGATAGTTTTTTTCCTATTACCCAAATACAACATAACCTTCTGTTATTGTTGATGGAAACTTTTTCTTCCACAGGTGTAACTGCTTTTTTCCTGTTGGTCACTCTACAAAGCTACTGAGCCCAAAGGACTGTGCCTTGTTTATTGAGCTCCTAGCACTACACATCATATTCAGGAAATACTCGGCAAACCTTTGTTGGGCAAACGAAGGAATGAACAATTTCAAACTAAGCACAAGAATGGCACCATCTGTCATGGCTCAAGAAGTTTACACATAAATATTCACTATAAACACACAACAGTCTGTATTCAGTGCTGCATGAGTGATATGAAGAAAGCCATGCAAGGGTTCACAGACAACCACAATATTTTCAGGTATTCAATATCCACTGAAATGATTTAGACTTTTTTCCTAAGATTATTCACATTGAAAAGACCTGTAAAGCTTATCTAATCTAACTTCTTTACTAGAAAGTAAGACCCAAGAGCTTAAGCCGCTGTCCACGACTAGCCATGTGAATAAATGGCAGAGCCAGGAGAGAACTTTCTTCCCATTTGATGTAGCTCTCCATAGGTTTTATCCCTTTATTACTTTCTGCTTCTTCCCTGGTCTTCCCACACTCTTCCTTCCCAGCTCATCCCTTAAACAGTGCTGTTTCCCAAGACTGTGTGCATAGCTGTACTCTTAGTCCTACCCTCCCAATGCACCTCAACCATCTCCACACTCACAGTCATAGCCTCCAAGCAAAGGACACCTTGATCTCTAAATTCGGCTCCACTCTTCCTCCTGAGCTGCAGACCCGTATTTCCCAATCCTTGATGGACAGCTCTCGTGGGTGATCCAACCAGTCCTCCACAGTTAACTATAAAACTGAGCTCCAACTCAGCTCTCAACTCTCTCATGTTGAATGCATTAACATTCCTCACATCTACCCATTTTCACCTCCTACTGCTTTCAGGCTTTCAGCATATCTCATCTGGTGTATTATGACAATTTTAACAGATCTCCCTGCTGTCTTTCTCCTAATCTATTCTAAAAGGTTCAAGACCTTTGGTAGTTCTCCATTTTTAAACTTCTCCTGACTGCCATTGGAAGCCCTCTGGGAAATGCTCTTCAACTCTCCCATCCAATCTCTCATTCTACCCTCTCACATCTCATCATACACATCCACTCCCGAGTACCCAAATAAACCTGGAACTTGCCTTCCTGCTTCCCACCACTGGCTCCCTTCTGCCAGAAAACACTTCTTCAAAAAAATACCTTAATTATAGCCATTCTTTAAGGCCTAACTCATAACAACATACTCCTGGAATTCTAAGATTTCCAGATTTCCCTTAAATTAGACTCAAGCTCTTTCTACCCTCAATTTCAAGAGCACTTACTTGTATACCTGCCTTGTATTCCTGTTATGTATGTGTATTTGCTACTAGATTCTGGGTTCCTGTAGCAGTAGAGACAAGCCCTTAATCATCTTTGTGTCTTACAGAATAACAAGAGTGGTATCTTTCCCAAGGTAAGGTCTCAATAAATATTATCTTGCATTTAATGGAATTAGAGTCCCTTGGTTTTTAACTATACAAAACTACCACCCTTAAAGGCATCGAGAAAAAAAGATAACATTTGTATTACCCTTGAAAAATAACGGTAGTCATGACTTCTTTGTAGTCTAAGCTATGTATCTGTAAGGGAGGCTCAAGACTGGCACTGTACATTCCTGGGGAGGTGCTCCCACGATGCAGAAGAAGCATACCTTGCTACAGTTCACAGGATGCAACTCCAAATGCCTTCAGGGGCTAAGGAGCTAACAGACTAGTTGAATGAAGCAGGCCAGGGGTAGGAAAAGCAAGAGCACAGTCCCCCAGGTCTATGACGGGATGAGAATAGAAGAGACTAGTGAAATGGAGAATGCAGGTGCCATTTAAAAGTGAGCAGCCACCACGTGGCTCCAGTGATCTCTGCCAGAAGGGAATGTGGTCCAAGGTTGCTACAATTTTTCCAAAGGCCAGAAATCATGACTTTTATTTGAAATCTCCTAGATTTTAAATATTGATAGCAAGCCAGTTAGAAATATCTTAAGCACTGAAAGCCAAAAAGAACAGACCAGGCAGGGTACCAACTTGCTACCTTTGTTTCTCGCATTATGTCAGGAAAAAGTCCAATGGAAAGCAAAACTTAACAAACATTGTTATATGTTCCCATTGATTTATAGTCAAATTTAGTATTTATTTCTGATTGATTTTTCAGTTGGCCATGGATTTTCATGCCTTGGCTTACATCTCATTGCCTTTCAGACTCCCGTTCAAGCAGTGAACAGGGTACATGTAGCTTAAATATGTTATAAGATGTTTGGAGGATCCCTTATATTAAATATATATTAAATTGGTAATGTAAATAACTGCCCTCTAATTTGTTAATACGACTTTTCATATATTGGATTTTCTTTGTAAAGATATTAAAGTCATGTCTAACTGATAAGGTTAACGGGGAAGAAGCAGTTCTTAAAAACATGGCCTCCCCGCCAGATTGCCTGGATTTGAACTTCACCTCTAACAAGCCCTAGCTAGCAGATCCTGGGCAATTTATTTACTATCTCTGTGCCCCAGTGACCTGCAAATTGAAATAGTAGTACCTGGCTCACAGGATTGCTGTGAGGTTTAAACAGACACGCCATAAACAATTACTGGAATAGTTAGTGCCTGGCTCATACTAACTAAATAAATGTTAGCTATAGCTCAATTTGAGCTGGTATTATTATTTTCCATTATAACTTCATTGGTCATAACAGAAAGTGGTGGGGGGTCTGAGCTAATATATCTGGGCTACTAGGAGGGAGAAGACAGCCTGTTCCATGATGTCTTCAGGGCCAGGACAGGCTGTGGCTGAAGTCTCTTGTCAGGCAAAGCCTGTGGCAGCTGGAGCTGCAGCCCAGGTGCAGATGCTTCCCCTGAACCGTGAGATGAAATGTCTGTTGCTGGGGTGGATCCAGTTGCACTGGTCCAGAGCAGACAGCCTGCTCCACTCCCTCAAGGAGAGGGAGGCTGCTTAGATGCTGTAGCATGGAGTATGCCATCAGACTGCTGAACTGAACCTTGGTCCACCACTTCCAGACTGCGTGACCTTATCCTTTCTTGCCACCATTTCTAAATATGTAAAATGGGTATAAGCAATGCCTATTCACAGGGCTATAGACATAAATTAAGGTAATATTATGTGTAAAGTGCTTAGTCAGTACCTGACCTGTAGAAAGTTTTCAAGAAGGTTACCTGTTACGATCACTCTCGGATGGTTCAAGCTTGCTAATTTCAACCATGCTCGCCAATGACTCACAGAGATAGAAGCCTTATGCTATATGGAAAATGATTCCAAGTAGTATAGTGATATGGTGATATAAATCTTTCCTAATGAAAAGTCTCAAACACACACCATAACTGTAACAGGCTATGGCTCATATTTCTCGGAGCTCTTCATAAAGAGACAAGTCAAAGAACAATGGCACAGTAGGCAGAAGGCTAGCCATTCCTTATGGGCAGACCACATGTCCCCTTCCTGATTGTTAAAGTAAGGCTAACACAGGGTTCTGCCCATCCCAGGAGTAAGTGCTTAATAGTTATCAAGACCCAGAAAGAACATGCTTTTAAAAGAAGAAACCACCTCCTGTCGAACTCAATCAATGGGCACTCCCCCCAACTGTTTGACAGACTAGTGGGTTTTTTTTTTTGACAGTTTGGTGACTTTTTAAAATTTAAATTCAATTAGCCAACATATAGTACATTGTTAGTTTCAGATGTAGTGTTTAATAATATATCAGTTGCATGTAACATCCAGTGCTCATCACCTCACATGCCCTCCTTAATGCTCATTACCCATTTACCTCATCCCCCCACCTCCCTTCCAGCAACACTCTGTTTGTTTCCTATAGTTAAGAGTCTCTCATGGTTTTTCTCCCTCTCCAGTAACTTCCCATTTAGTTTTCCCTCCCTTCCCGTATGGTCCTCTGCGCTGTTTCTTATATTCTACATTTGAGTGAAACCATAGGCTAACTGTCTTCCTCTGATTGATTTATTTAGCTCAGCACAACACCCTCCAGTTCCATCCATGTCCATGTAAATGGTAAGTATTCATCCTTTCTGATGGCTGAGTAATATTTCATTGTGTATATATATATTCTTTATCCATTCCTCTGTCAATGGACATCTAGGCTATTTCCATAGTTTGGCTATTGTGGACATTGCTGCTATAAACATTGGGGTGCAGCTGCCCCTTTGGATCACTACATTTGTATCTTTAGGGTAAATACCCAGTAGTGTGATTGCTGGGTCATAGGGTAGCTCTATTTTCAACTTTTTGAGAAACCTCCATACTGTTTTCCAGGCCGGCTTCACCAGCTTACATTCCCACCAACAGTGTAAGACAGTTCCCCTTTCTCCTCGTCTTTGCCAACATCTGTCATTTCCTGACTTGTTAATTTCAACCCTCCTGACTGTCGTGAGGGGGAATCTCATTGTGGTTTTGATTTGTATTTCCCTGATGCCAAGTGATGTTCAACATTCTTTCATGTATCTGTTGGCCATTTGTATCAGACTAGTGCTTTTTAACTGTCTACAAGAATTGTGTTACATATAATGCATATACATGAAAGAAAGCACACAAAAGAGGAATAAGAAACACAACAAAAGAACCTAGGTGAAGAAAATTTTAAAAAGAAACTACCATTTTTAACCACCCAGGCTTAAAATGTGTCTCATAAAGACATCAGGGAAAGTATTTGTAGATGTGATCTAATCAAAATAGCCTGTGATTACTGTTAGATGGACATACGAATATTTTGAGCCTTCTAATTACACCCATGGGTAGTCTGCTGTAAGTCTAGCATTTTCTTTTTCCAGGACATTTTTAGCTGTCCCTCATAGTCTAAACTGTATTACAACATGTGCTCTCTGGAACAGTATTTAATTACCTGGATGTGGACTGGAGGTGATGAGGCTCCACTCATTGATATCTGAGTTGTAGCTCTGGACCTTGTCGTAGGTGCAGCTCCCTCTGTAGCCACAGTGGCCGCCAATGACATAGATAACTTCGTGTAAGACGCAGGCAGTCGCGTTTCCCACGCCTGTGTGTTAATCAAAATCATGTCTTCAGATGGGTCTATCGTTGTGTTTCATGATGAATATTTGGGCTAAATTCATTATTGTTTCTCTTGTTACTGACAGTAGATGTCAGGCCCTGTGCTAGGTGCTATGAGAGATGGAAGAATGAATACGAAAGGGTCCTTTCACTCTTCTAAAAGAGGGTGAGACACCCAAATATTTAGAGCACAGGGTACAGAACCACTGTGAATGTTCAGAGCCAGGAGACACTGTTTTGAACAAGGAAATGATGGCTGGAGGTGGCAGAATTTGACCTGGGTCCCAGCAGGTAGGACTTTGGCAGGTAGAGGTGAGAGAAAGCCATCCGACGCAGAGAAAAAGGCGAGTGCAAAGACCCAGTGGGCAATGTCGAGTATCCCCATTTGATGCCAGCACGTGCAAGGGCAGGTGGCCCAGCTGGAGTTGTCAGATGGGAACTGAAGCTGACACAGTAAGTTGGAAGCCATGCCACAAAGGACCCTGGCCCCCAACTATGAAATGAAGACTTCATTCAGCAAGACTTTAAAGATTCTTAAACAGAAGAAGAGAGAGACTACAGAAACAGAAGGACAAAAAGAGTCAGACGTCCAGATATTGGCCCAGGTAGGAAGTATTGAGGGCCCAATTTAGAAGGGGTTTTGGGTGTGGAGGGAAGGGCATGGAGGTAGGAGAGACAGATAAACACATAAGCCTTGATGCCGGACTATGTCAGAAACAAGCAAAACTGACGATGAGGTCCTAAGTTCGGGAAATTGGGAAATGCTGATGCTCTAGGAAAATGGGGAGGAAGAAATGAGTTCGGCAGAAAAAGAAGCTCCGAGGAAGTAAGATGAGGCTCATTTTGGTCGAACATGTCAGTTTAGTCTTTCAACCAACAGTTGTTTACCACTGACACATGCAGGATGCAGTTTAATCTCCTTGTGCGTTTCTACTCCAGCATAAATGTGAGTTTATACGCAGGGTAGTTATGATGAGGGAGAGAAAAGAAGTCAGGAACTCCTAAACAGCCAAGTATTTATTTCTTCTCTGTACATCCCTAAACCTAAAAAGGAAATGAATTTGAAATTTGACTCTACACGATTTAAGTTCTGATTACCAGAGGAAGCTGATCGTTCACCTCATGACTACAAAAGGAAACAAACTGGGAAAAGTAATGTTACCCTTGCAACAGAAAAATGAGAAACTTAAAGTTCAAAACCAGCACTGTCCAAAGCTGGATAGAACGGATACAGGATTACCCTTCCCAAGGATGATCAGATATAACCAGGAATCAGACTTCAAGGTGAAAGTGTAACTAAAACTTTGGAATTTAGACCCAGCTGGTGGGGGGGGGGGCGGTACTTTGGTGTATGAGGGTCTCCCATCCCACTCAAGGTGAAGGCAAGAACACACAAGGCTTTCTTTAACAGTGGACCCACCACGGAAGCATTTCTTTTCAGCAGGCATGTTTCAAATATGATGTTTAAAGATCGCAATAAAGTAACCAACTTTCCTCCTCATGGAAATATGCTCTGAACTATGAAACCATGGCAACCGGTACCTCGTCATCAAGAAAGAGAGGCAGAAATGTATCCAGGTTGACAACAGCCGCTACAGTATTTGAACCTTCCTTGTTTCTTTAGTAGGAAAGGAGTCAGGAGGACACTGAGGACCATCCTGGGGAGGAGACCAGGAATGGGCAGTTAAGCTCAGGCAGAGCCCAAAACAAGAGTGGCAACAGCAGGGGGGGCTCTAACCCCCCTTGTCCCCCTCTACCAACCACTACTGAACCTTCATGAATGCAGGAGAGCGGACATGATTTCCCATGAAAGATAATTTTGCTCTGTCAAAGTTGACGTGTTTTTTTTTTATAAGGGCCTTCATTATGACAATAATGAAGAACAAATAGTGACAATAACACCTACAACAACAACTCCTGACACTGAGTGCTTCCCCTGCTCCAGACCCTGTTCTACATACCTTACATGCATAAATTCACTTAATCCTCTCAAAGCCCTGAGCTTCATAATGTTGTCTCCCCCACTGTACAGAAAATAAAACCGGGGCACGGGGAGATGAAACAATTTGCCTGAGCACTTTAGCAAGGAAATGGAAAGTCAGGATTTGGACTCTAGCAGTTTGGCTTCAGGAGCAATGTGCCTGATCACAAGACCGTTCTGCCTCTCGGGCTTCCTGCCTGTCCCAACGATCACACCAGGTCAGATTCCCAGACCAGGTCAGATTCCCACACCCTCAGTAGTATTAAAACAGAAACAGAAAGGCCTGGGAAGGAACATTTGGAATAAAATGACACAAATTTAGCAACAATCTACCAGTTGTTTTTGTGCAACTCCCCAGCACAAATGAATAAATGTAATTAAGTAAGATTCCAGTTTAACTTTTTTGCCAGTGGGAGGGAAGGAGAGCAAGGCTAATCGAGTACTGAACACAGCAGAAAATAGAGTGTTTATCAGACAGATATTGAAACCCAATAGTGTGCCTGGCTGTGTGGACCACAGGAGGGAGGGGATGGGATCTGCCCCTATCTTTCACCTTAGGAAGAAAGACTTGAATCACAAAAAGCAGGGGCTATCTGTCTCTACTTTTTGAGAGAATGTAATTTGTTACACTCTAAAGGGACCGAACCTTTCAAGGTTTTAATGAAAGACCTTTTAAAAGAGAGAGATGATCAGATAATGGGAGGGAAAAGACTGAATATTTAAAAGCAGAACTGAAAAGGGTTCAATTTCAAGAGCATAAATAAATAAATAAGAACTAATAAAACCACCCAACTTTCTCTTTTCATTTAGCCTTTGACTTAAATATAAATTCTTAGGACCTGAAGCAAGATCTAAACTTGAAACAGGCTGTAGAGTAAGTGGGATGAATTATATACTCTTTTCTTTTCTTTTTTTTTAAGATTTTATTTATTTATTTGAGAGCAAGACAGTGAGAGAGAGCATGAGCAAGGAGAAGGTCAGAGGGAGAAGCAGAATCCCCACGGAGCTGGGAGCCCGATGTGGGACTCGATCCCCGGACTCCAGGATCATGACCTGAGCCGAAGGCAGTCGTCCAACCAACTGAGCCACCCAGGTGTCCCGAATTATACTCTTTTCTTATATAAATGATATTTTTCTAGTCTGAGGAACATTCTCTAATCACATAACCTCAGACAAGTTGGGGACTGCTCTACTGTGCTTCTACTTGGAACATTCTGTCCACTATTATTTGTATAATCTATTATAGTTCCTAGATAGCATTCCAAAGTGATGCATTCTTTTTAAAGTTCTCTGCAGGAGAATTTAGACCACTGGCCTAACCTCAAACATCCAGAAAATTAGAGAGTAAATATAATCTGGACTTACCTTTAATCATGTTTGCAATAGGAATCCATTTCTCTTTTAATGGATCATAGAACTCGGCCTCTTCTGCAGGAGCCCCTTTCCTGTAACCGCCTAAAGCGTAGACGCAGCCACCCAAGGTGACGGCACAGTGGTAGTACCTGGCATTGAGCATGGGCAAACCTTCTGTCCATTCATCACTTTCACTGTTATAGATCCACACTGTGTCAAGAGCTTCTATGTTATCCGTTCTATAACCCCCAGTTACATAAATGTTGGGTCCCAAACATGTAACACCATAGCTCTCCCTAGTATAGTCTGGTATTTCCGCTCCCTGAATCCAAACATTTGTCAGAGGATCCCATATGTGAACCTCTGATAAAGGATGCCAGTAATAACCTCCAATGATGTACATTGTGGCTGTGGACCTCTGGGAAATCTCTTTATGCAGGGGATTCAGAGCATTGTATATTAGAGATCGTATCTTATTTTCAGTTAGCAGGCAGCTTCTTTGAAGACCTAAAGCTGTTTTTAAATACACTGGATCTATATCTATGTTTACGTAGCTTAGTAAGTTATACAGGCATTCAATTCGATTTTCCACATCATGAGCAGTCCACTTAATAACAGGCTCTATGATAGCTTCTTCTTTCCAAACACTGAGATTCTTTCTGGACAATATAAAGAGAAACTTTTCAAGGCTGATTTCCAGAAATTCTTCTTGCTGCCACACTTCCTTAAACCTTGAACAGAGAATTCTTCGCGATTCCTTCTCTAGTTCTGGACACATGTGAAATTCTGCAAAGGAGTGCATTCCAATACAATTATCAATATCCAAGTGCCTTACCAAAAACTGCTCACAAGCTTTCTTTACCGAAAGGAACTGTAGCAGATCTGCTGCTTCAAGGAGGCTTTGAACGTTTCTTTTAGTTATTTCAATCTGGGAAGTGTATGCATAATTCACAAGGCCTTCCAAAACATCATGGTGGATGCCAGAGATTTTTATTTTATTTTTAAATTTTTCTTTCATATCAGCTGTGAACATTGCCTTAAAATAATTGCTGCAAGCAGCTAAAACAGCTCGGTGACAATGGAAGATTATGCCTGAAGGACACTGAAGGGTAATATCAGTAAATAATCCATCCAAGTAGAATGTTCTGAATGCATCCAGAAAATCGACTGGATGCGCTGTATCCTTGAAAAGGTAAATATAATCTTCTTGTCCTTTTAGAGCCATGGCTGCAATAAACATGAAATAAACGGGTTTTCAACTTTGCAGATTACGGCAAATAATCAATGCTAAAGACGCCAATCCTTGCGATGACTGATTAGCATCGCACATACTCCAAACCTAGACTAAGTTCAGCATTCTAAGTAAGAAACGCAAAATGTGGATAGACTATTTTATAGTTTATGTGATGGCCAATTTAAATTCGGGGTACTTGGAGCCTGAAACGAGGCCCCCGGGGTTTTCAGTAATCTTTTAAATTAGAAATATTGATTTGCTAACCCATTCGCCCAGTCTCCGCAATCGGACCCGAGCTGGCTGTCCGAGAGGACCCCGCTTGGCAAACCAACTGTCCGAGGGGTCGCCCCACTAGAGACCGGACTTTGGCCGTCTCGGCTCGGCCCCAATGCAACCTTTTTTCACTAGCTCCATCTCCCTTGCAAGTCGCATCGAGCTGCCAAGAAAGAGAGGATCGAAATGGAAATGGAAAGGAAGAAATCTCGGAAAAGGGAAACCCTGTACCTTTCTGCTTGAGAAAGGAGAGAAAAGAAAGCGGCCGAGCCGCGGCCCCTCCACGGCCCCTACATCCCCGCGCCCCCTCCCCCGCCGCAGCCGCAGGGGTTTCCGCGCGCCCCGAGCCTGGGCCCGGGGCCCGCGTTCCCGCCGGGAGACCGCCCCGCCCCGGGCCTGGCGCGGGGACTCGACGCGAGGGCGCCGCGCGCAGCGGGCCGGGCCGGGTGCCCGCGTCCCTCTGCCCCGGGACGCCGCACAGGTGTGGGGAGGGCACAGCGGGCGGCCCCGCACTCGGCCCTGCCCAGCGCCCGCGCGGCCATTGTCTCCGCGCCTCTGCGGCCGGCGGGCTCGGGAGGCGGCGCGGCCTCGTTCTCCCGCGCCCGGCCCCGCCGGCTCCCTTACGGCTGGCCCCGGGCGGCGGGGCCGCGGGACACCTACCTCCGGCGGCGGCTCCGGGACGCGGTGCTGGCCCACGGGCTAGCGGCGAGCGAGGGCGGGGGCGCCTCCGGACCCTCTGACCATCTTTGGAAGAGGCGCGGCGGAGGGTGCCTGCTAGTGCAGCTCCAGCCCACAAGCGGCTCCTATTTTGGTGCCCCGGCTGCTCCCCGCCTCCAACCGAACAGCCCCCCGCGCGGCTTGGGCGCGGGGCCACTCGCGGGAACTCCCGGGTGGCGGGACCGCGCTAGGATCAGGGGTGGGGGGGCGGGGGGCGGGCACGCGGCTGCGGCCCCTTCCCGGCGGTTCCTCCCTGCAGCAGGTGGGAAGGCTGCCCTGAGGACAGGGCTTGAGCCACTAGCTTTCTCCTCTCTCCTTGGGTCTGAACCTCCCACACAGCACACACCCCCGAGCGTTTTCTGTCTAGATCAACTCAGTAAGTCCTGAATTAAGACCACATATGGGGGGCTGAGGGGGGACTGTATCCCTTCCCCCTTCCTTCGGTGCTTTCACCAGCCCAGGCCCTAGAGGGAGAGATGGAGAGGACAGTGTGGAGAGAACGCAGCAAACCTGGAAGGTCTGGGGTGGAAGATGCCTTCAGAATGCCAGGAGTAGCTGCCGCTTTTCCACGAACCCTATCCCGCTCGCAGGCAGAGCACGCAGGAGCGAGCCCCTGAGGCTGATTTGCACACTAACCTGGAAGCTTTCAGAAAAACGGAGAGCAGCTAGGGGGGAGGATTCAGATTAAGGTATTTAGAGCAGAGTAGCTGGAAGAAGCAGCCTCCGGTCCTTTCTTCCTGGTGACAGCAGGTCCCGTCAAAGATGTCCATGTGCTACACCAGAAGGTTCATTTTCTTCCAGCAAAAGCCAGTTCCAAATCTTGTCATTTATCATTCATCCATTCATTTGCAAGTTTTTATTGAGGGTCTGATAGGGCTAGGCATTGGTACCTAGAGATCTTATGGAGCTTACAGTCCAGCCACGTCAGGGGAGGAAAGAGACCAGGATGAAATGAACACCAGAGGCCCAGTGTGTTTCAGAGTATGGTCTGAGAGACAGGGCAATGGCCAAACTATATGTGAACACAGAACTCTGAACCACAGAAGAACCCCCGGAAGCCACACCATAACTTCAGCAGCCAGACCAGAACAGTCAGGACATCAAGGACTGCCAACTTCCCTGTTTTTGCTGGACTTCCAATTCAGGACCCATCAGGGAAAGCCTGTGTGTTCCGCAAACCAATCACATAAAATGCCCCTTATTTCTAGTAGCCCGCCTCCAGCTTTCCCAGGCCAACAACTTCCAATCAGAACATACCTGAAAACTTCCCCTTTTTTCAGTTTTATAAAGCTTTCCCAATCCCCTGTCTGCCTTTGAGCTTCTGCCAAAGGCAAGTGATGGTGGCTGACTCTGTTACTATTGCGAGAGCTGAATAAATAGTGTCCACTTGTTCTCATTTGGGTGGTTTTAGTTTCATTCTACAAGTCAATCGCAATTGAATTATGTGGGATGCTAAGGATGCAGCACCCCACAAACACCACCACACCCAGACTTCCCTGGGGCAGCGCCCTAGGAGTCTGTGTTCTATTCAAGGACATCAGGTGATTCTTTTGCACAATTCGAAGAATGAATGTTGGACCCAACATTGAAGAAAAACAAAAGGTTCAGTATCTCAACATCTGGTAAACTGTTTGGTAGAGAAGAAAAGTATGTGAGATTTTGTTTCAGGGTTACAGTTCATCTCTGCCACTTTTGTAACATATAGCCTTAAGCAAGTCACTAAATTTCTCTGATCCTTACTTTTCTGATACGTAAAACAGAAAATACTACTATTTATTCAACTTAACAGAAGATTATCAGAAAGACAAAATAAAATTACAAATGTGAGAGCGTGTTGGATGTGGCATTTAAATGTTATGTATGAAAGCTATTATAGTAAGGAGATATTTACACTTAATTCTCCATCACAACCTCAATTTGGAAATTAGTATTTTAAAACATGTCTTCAAAAAATTATAAATTTTGTAGTTAGTTGTGATTATAGACAGCTTGTCCTTCATGACTGATAATGATGTTATTGTTGGGGCTATCATCCAAGGCTGTGATTGTGACTGATTAAAGATGGGGCATTCTTTCCATGTTTGTCACTGAAGTGTCACAGATGGCTGTTTGTGGCTATGGTGCCAAGTTTGATGCAAAGAAAATATTATAGACTCTATCTAACTAAGAGCAGGGGCTTCTAGAATCAAGATGGCATGTAATAAGTTATTACTAAATAATAGAATTCACTATAGTGTCATTGGCACAGTTTTTTTTTTTTTTTCTTCCAGATTGCTGTATAGGTCAATTAAAACTTTTGTTTCTGGGGCACCTGGATGGCTCAGTCAGTTAAGCAGCTGCCTTCAGCTCAGGTCATGATCTCAGGGTCCTGGCATTGGGTGCCCTGCTCAGTGGGGAGTCTGCTTCTCCCTCCACCTGCCCCTCCCACTGTTTGTGCTCTCTCTTTTTCTCTCAAATAAATAAATAAAATCTTAAAAAGAAACAAAACCTTTTGCTTCCATTGCCTGATATTCCCTGGTTGTGAATTATTACTTAAAAGTGTATATGTTACACATCAATTATATCTCGACTTTTTAAAAGGCAAAAAAAAAAAAAAAAGTGTCTATGAATATATATTAGACCTGCCTCAACTTGCCAAGGGAAGAGAAGGGCCTGTAGGGGGCTGCCAGAGCAGTTCCTCTTTACCACATGCTTTGTCAAAGAGATCACTGCAAATGCTAATAGATTTGATGCACTCGGAAACATATAATTAGCATTCATAAGTTAAATAAAGTAATGACACTGTTCAAGAAAACAAATGTGCCATCTGTGAATTCAAGTCTTGAGGAAATAAAGAGCCACCGTGGAGATGAGCTATAAATGACTCTTGGCTGATATTAAGCTTGGCATGGAGTTAGATGTCTTTTGACATCACGCTTTGCTTTTCAAAAGACTCTTAGTTTCTAAAAATAACAATTTTATTTACTGTTTTAACCGTATTAGTACATCTTTCCACTAAGTTGCTATGTCATCAAATGTTTGATATGTTGATTGTGATGTCATTAGCAATGTGTGTAAATGACGGGTATATATAGGAACTTTTGTATATTTCATTTACATACTGGATTAAATAAGTTGCTGCTAAGTATAAAATAGTACGGATATTTATAAGGCCACCACATACAGCTGTGTAAGTTGTGCACTGCCCAATTCCAGCTCGTTCCCCTCAAGTAGAGTACAATATGAACACTCCTTAGGAGTTGTATAGTACATAACTAGCACAGGCATATTATAGCCACTTTGGAGCTGATAACATCTGGCAAAGCTTGTTTGGTACGCTTTTTAGAAAATAAGAAAGTTAACAGTCTAATGACTGGGTAACAAATACTTTTGTTAAGTAAGAAGTTTTAAAATTCCTTGTTTTTAGCAAAAGTAAAAGAGCATTTTTGACAAATAACTTGGAAAGAATCCACAAAATGAATGGTACTGCTATAATAAAATTCTCTCATTCCCATCTACTTGTCTATGTGAACACGTTTCTTCATGGATTTTATCTACAGAAATGAAAAACAGGAATATCATTGACCTAAACTCTGTCTCATTCCAACAGTAAGCAATACTTAGCCAAAAACGTATAGCTTAAGTGAAAAGAAAATAGCCCAATTCATCAGACTGAAATAATTTTTGAAATTTTTACTTTTAATTTAGACATGTTTATGTTGTTTGATCAATTATAGTAATTGTAATGTTAATTATCCCAGAATTCTCTTTACTACTTAAGAATCAAAGACATCAAATAGTTTAAATTTTAATTTATGTACATTTTCATAGCAGACAAATTTAAAGAGGTGATTAACAAAACATATAAAAGTATACAGACAATCCTTTCTTTGAATGGTTCCAACATGCACGAATTTCAGTTACTGTGGTTTAGTTAACACCAATCCCCTAAAATGAGTTCGAATTTCAATTACTATGGTATATTAACTGTAATTGTACAAAATACAAATTTCGCCCCTAGCTCTTCAATCCATGAATCACCACATAAATAAAGATGAATGTCATGGTCAGTGACTAAACATGTTTCTTCTCTCAAAATCATTGGTGATTGGTCACTGCATGTCTGTTATTCAGTTCACATGAGGACAGCAAAGCTTGTAGTTGTCTTATCTCCTTGTCTGCCTGTGAGAAATATATGTAATATTTTACAAAAATAGATCTTTGAAAGAGGACATTGGCCAACAAAAATGAAAGCACAGCAAAGAATTGAGGGATCATGCCACAAGTGAAATTTGAATCGAATATAATGAAATTCTAGAAGAAACAACTGACCGTGGGAATGTTGACAGTGCCACCACTCGAGAGAGTTGGGCCATGCAGTCAGTGGAAATTGCTGCAGGCCAACTTAGTGACTTCAGTGAGGAAACAGGCTGTTGACAAAAAAGAATGAAGATGTCCCAGAAGAAGTGATGTTAGCAAAAAACTTCACATTAAAAGAACTCATGGAGATTCTTCACAACATTGAAAATGCAAAGGATAAAATGTTGGAAGCGGATCCAAACTTAGAAAAAAAGTCTGACAATTCACTAGGGCATAGATTCTGGTCTCTCTGTGTTGTTAAGTAGTATGACAAAATGAAGGCAAGAACTGTTCAAACTACTCAGTAAAAATTTTTTACAAAGAAATACTTTCATCCTCAGTGTTTCTAACTGCAGTATACTAAGTAAATACTGATCTTGCTATGTTTTTCCTTTTCCTTATTTGTTTTGTAACTAATTTGTAACGAATAGTAAGACAGTTTTTAAAGTTCCTGCAAAAAAGTGTAAAGGTCACAAGACAATTAAAATGTTTCCCACTAATTATTAACATTATTTTTGCACAGTGATCTTGTGTGGTCATTTTTATGCTCCTGCACTACTGTGCATAATGAGGACTGCCTGTATTTTCAGTAAGACAACATTTTCTGGGAGAAGTGGAACAGAAATATAGGCTCAAGAAGAAAAAAGAATGAGCTTAAAAATTTTCCAGTGTTGAATAAAAGGCACAGCATAGGAAATGTAGTTGATGGTATTGTAATAGGTTGCCAGGTGACAGATGGTAGCTCATTTGTGGTGAGCATAGCATAATGTATAAGATTGTATAAACAATCAACAATGACTATGTTGTATGCCCAAAACTAATGTAACATTGTATGCCAATTATACTTCAATAAAAAAGGAAAAAAAATTCACACTGTTAAAGAACAATTTATTTAGGTCTTTTTTATAAACAATTATTTATTTTTTAAGATTTTTATTTATTTATTTGACAGACAGAAATTATAAGTAGGAAGAGGGGCAGGTAGAGAGAGAGGGTGGGGAAGCAGGCTCCCTGCTGAGCAGAGAGCCCAATGTGGGGCTCGATCCCAGGTCCCTGAGATCATAACCTGAGCTGAAGGCAGAGGCTTAACCCACTGAGCCACCCAGGAACCCCCATTTAGGTCTTTTTTTAATGATATTAAGTAATTTCTATACCCATCATGGGACTCAAACCCACAACCCCAAGATAAAGACTTGCATACTCCACTGACCAAGACAGCCAGGTACCCCCTGTTCATGTATTTTTAAATGAATGATGGCAGGTTTCAAATTACTACAGATAGGTTTTATTAAATAGACTTAAAAGTTATTTAAACTCCTATTTAAAATGTAATCCCTGGATTGCCACACTTGCTCAGTCAGTGGAGGGCATAACTTGATCTCGGGGTTGTGGATTCAAGCCCCATGTTCAGTGTTGAGATTACTTAAAAATAAAATCTTTAGTGGCACCTGGGTGGCTCAGTGGGTTAAAGCCTCTGCCTTCAGCTCAGGCCATGATCCCAGGATGCTGGGATCGAGTCCTGCATCGGGCTCTCTGGTCAGCAGGGAGCCTGCTTCCCCCTCTCTCTCTGCCTGCCTCTCTGCCTACCTGTGATCTCTGTCTGTCAAATAAATAAATAAAATCTTTTTACAAAAATCTTTAAAACAAAGTCCTACTTTGTAATATAATATATTAGAAATCACAACCTGGGTGGGGGGCGCCTGGGTGGCTCAGTCAGTTGAGTGTCCAAATCTTGATTTTGGTTCAGGTCATGATCTTGGGGTCATGGGATGGAGCCCTGGGTCAGTTTCCATGCTCAGTGTGAAGTCTGCTTGAGATTCTCTCCCTCTGCCCTTCCCCCTACTCATTCTCTCTCTCTCTCTAGCTTTCCAAAAATAAATAAGTAAAATCTTTAAGAAAAAAGAAATCACAGGCTTAGCAAATGTTGAAACTTATGTTGAAAAGTCTTCAATATCAGTCTGAAGACGTGGAAGTGAGAATGTAATTTTTCAGTTGTTTGGGAGCACTTGTTCAAAAAACTTATGAAAGCCTCAAAACAAGAACTAGTCTGCTTTGGGCGGGGAGGGTCACTTAAAAGATAGCAGTTTATTGAGAATATGTTTTTGGTGCCACAGTTAAAGCTAAATTCCAGATAAAATTAACAGAAGACAGAGTATAATAAACTAGAAACTTTTTCAATTACAAGCAACAGAAACCCAATTCTTATGAACAGAAAAAAAAAAGTAAGAGTATTGGCTCAAATAAACCAAGACAGATACTTTAAAATAAATCAGAGATTAGAGCTCTTTAATGACTGTGTGTCTCATTTAGGAAAAGCCAAATTACTTATAATGGCTTCCTGGACCCCCACACCAGCTGGGCTTTCTGCTCTCACTAGGAACAGCACTGCTTCTGTCCTCACTAATGGCTCTTCCTTTTGCTACAACTGCTTTTTGCAGCTACTGCTTTGTGACCCATTCCCTCCTCCCCATCAGGTTTTTACTCAAGGATCAACTTCTCAGTGAGGTCTTCTCCTACGAACCCATTTAAAATTGTCTCCCTGCCCCACCAGCTATTTCCTATCCCTCTTACTGGCTTTATTTTAACCCATATTTCTTATTACCATCTAGAAAATTATATATATTGGCTTATTTATCAGATTATTGTATCATTTCTCCCACTAGAATGTAAGCTCCATGAAAGCACTGATTTTTGTCTGTTCATAGTTGTTATCGCTAATTCAATTCTGTATTTTTAGAACAATGTCTGCATTTAACAGGTGCTCAATAAATATTTGTTATATAAATGGAAACGTGAATGTATTAACAGGAAGACTTCTGGAATTTTGTTAAAAAACATGCTCAAGGTCCATAGTTCTCTAGGAAATGACGTAAGTGACTTAATCCATAGTAGGATGGATTAGCATATGGTCTAAAAGGTTTGACTTTTTAAAATTTTCAAAATCAAAGCATCTGGTTTATCCCTTCATTTTTTTAAAAGATTTTATTCATTCATTTGACAGAGAGAGAGAGAGACAGCGAGAGGGGGAACACAAGCAAGGGGAGTGGGAGAGGGAGAAGCAGGCTTCCTACTGAGCAGGCAGCGTGATATGGCTCCATCCCAGGACCCTGGGATCATGACCTGAGCTGAAGACGGATGCTCAATGACTGATCCACCCAGGTGCCCCTATCCCTTCATTGTAATTCTCTTATGAGGTCTTTGTCACTTCTCACTTGGCTTACAGGAAGACTTTCCTGTGTTATCTCTTCCCTTTCCTCCCAAGCTGTACATAACCTTTCAATGTCCCCAAACACCACTTCCTGCACATCACTTCCATTAGCTTACTCCTGAGAGCATTGCAGAAAAAATTCAAACTCCAGTGGTTAGCTTTCAAACCTGTCCATAAATTGGCCAAATCCCACTTACAAAACTGATTCCATTACACCCCAGTTTAAACCCTTGACTTCATAACCTCATCACAGCCTCATGAGTATGCTGTGCTCACTCCCATCTTGGTTCAAATTATTCCCTTCATCTGGGAAGCTCTATCCTTTCCATCTCTCCAAATCCTTTCCATTTTTTAAAAAGTAATCTCCATGCCCAGCATGGGTTTGAACACATGACCCCGAGATCCAGAGCCGTATGCTCTACTGATGCAGCCAGCCAAGTGACCTTACTTTCCATTTTTAAGGTGTTCATCACAGTCGACCGCTTTCATAAAGCTTCTCTTATATCACAATTAATCAATTGATGGAGAGCAAAACACTGCACTATATGGTCAATCAGTCCTTTCTTGGCCTAAGTACTTTTACCTTATGCTAATTACTAAGATGCCTCATGAAGCATACTTTGGTATTGTGAATTACGAAAGTACCTGTACCACCCCTTCAGTCAAATTATAACTTCTTCGAAGGGTGTCTTTCCTTGGAAGAGACAGTTCTATACTTCCAGAGACTTTTGTTTTGTTTGCACACAGTAAGTGGCAAGAAAATATTTGTTGAATGATTTTTAGCCTCCAAAATTGCACAAAAGGATTTTCTAGATTTAAGTGTGAGAAGGGCTAAGTTGTTAATAGATCCATGAAAGAATGTTAATTCATACTGAACTGACGATAATAAAATATCTTTTGGACCAACTTGTGAAAAGAGTTGCGATTTTTTTATGTAACTTAATCCAGGAAATGACTAAATGGCAGGAAAAAATGTGAATGAGGAGCACCCAAGTGGCTCAGTCAGTTAAGCATCAGACTCTTGATTTTGGCTCAGGTGATGATCTCCGTGTAGTGAGACAGACCCTCACAATGGGCTCTGTGCTCATTCGGAAGTCTGGGCTCTCTCTCTCTCTGCCTCTCCCTCTGCCCCACTGCCTAAGCTCTCTCTCCAAAATAAATAAATCTTTTAAAAAAATGTGAATGAGGAAGATTTCCATTTTGCAGTGACTATAAAAATCTTATGAGGTAAACAATATTTGGTTTAATTGTAAATAAATATGTACTAGTTGTTTAGATACACAAATGACATTTTATTATTTAAATACATGACAAACTAATTTTTTTTACTCAGTCATGTTTTCCATAAACAATGGGACTTTCAAAGAATTTCTGTGTTAGGAAACATCTACGTTAATATTTTGTTTCTATTTGAACAGTCATCATACAGACATTAGTTTGTATGACATAAACAAGGATAGATATAGCTTTTGGCCTAGATTATTCCATGAGCCCTTATAGAGAACATCAAAAAATCTGTGTACAACAGAACTATCACATTGTCCACCTAAGAAAGAAATCAAATAGGGTACACAATATGGTAATGTATTAGTCAAGGAATTTAATCAATTATAGTTTATATATTTCTTACAGTTAGTCTCATCTGAAGACGTGTTGTTTGGTTATTACATGAGTAGAAGACTCTTCTCATCTTCTGTAAAAGAGCATATCTGATTATGGGGGTGGGGAAGTGGCTATAATTCTAGTCCCACTCACACTATTAACAGAGCTACTCCACCCCATTTGGTGCCTGCCTGCAGTTGCCCTAGTGACACATCAGTTATCCCTTGAAGGAGCTTACGAGACTGCAAAAAAAAAAAAAAAGTCTTTTCTAACTCTCTTTCAGGGCTAGTATAAACCAGGAGCTAAAAAAGTGAAATGCTATAAAAGCAAATCAATATATGGGCATATCAGGGGCACCTGGGTGGCTCAGTCAGTTAAGTATCTGAAATTGGTTTCTGCTCAGGTCACGATCTCTGGGTCCTGGGATGGAGCCCCACCCACATCAGGCTCTGCTCACCAGGGAATCTGCTTCTTCCCTCTCCCTCTGCCCCTCCCCGCATTCATACTTTCTTTCTGTGTATCTCTTTTTCAAAGTCTTTAAAAAAAAAGGCAAAAGAAAAAAAAGATGGCTAGATAGAAGGATGTATAGGTATGTGAAAAAACAAGCAGAGTTAAATGTTAATGGTAAAATTTAAATAATAGGCACACATGTGTTCACTATAAAATTAAAAGGTTAATAAAGGAATATTACAAAATACTCTGTGTCCCTGAATTTCACAAGTTACATGAAGTGAAGTCCTTGAGAGACACTATGGTGGTTTTAAAGTATACCCAACATTCTTTAACTCCCTCTTCAAAAGTGGACTCTAATTCCCCTCCATTTGAATGTGGGCTTAACTTAGTGTTCTGTTTTAATAAATAGAATATGGCAGAACTGATGGTGTTTGGCACCTGAGACTAGGTCACAAAAGGCATTGTGGTTTCCTCTCTGCCCTATCTCTTGGATCACTCACTTGGCAGGAAACCAAGTCTTTTGGGACACTCAAGCAGTTCTTTGGAAAGGCCCAAGTGGTTGGAAATTGAAGCCTCTTGCCAACAACCAGCAATGAATTGAGACTTCCTGATAACAAGCTGTGAGGAACTGCAGCCTCCTGCCAGAAACCATGTGAGCAAGCCACCTTGCAAGCAAAGCCTCCAGCCTTAATGGAACTTTCATGGCTACAAGCCTAGCTGACATCTTTTTTTTTTTTTTTAAGATTTTATTTATTTATCCAAAAGAGAGGGACAGCGAGAAAGGGAACACAAGCAGGGGCAGTGGGAGAGGGAGAAGCAGCCTTCCCGCTGAGCGGGGAGCCCAATGCGATCTCGATCCCAGGACTGTGGGATCATGACCCGAGTGGAAGGAAGACGATTAACGACTGAGCCACTCGGGCAGCCCCCTAGCTGACATCTTGACCCGTTAAAGATCCTGAACAACTCAGTAAAGTGCTCCTGAATTCCTCACCCACAGAAACTGTGAGATACTGCTTAGCTTTAAGCTGTTAAATTCCGAGGTAATTTGCTATGCTGCAATAGATAAATAGAGCCAACATACGACCAAAGTTTACTCAAGAAAAATTATACAACATGAATAGTCCTATATCTATTGAGGAAATTGAATTAGTAGCTAAAATTCTGCCAACAAAGAAAACTCCAGGCCTGGATGGCTTCACTGTTGAATTGTATCAACATTTAAGAAAGAAAGAATGCCAGTTATTAGATTAATTGTTTTTCTTTTCAATGTCATTTTTTCCTCTGACTGCTTTTTCCATCTTTGGTTATCAGTGATTTAACAGTGATGTGATTCTATGTGTTTTTTCCTTTTTATTTATCCTGTTTGGGGTTTGTAAAGACTCTTGAATTTATTTTGCTGTTGTACATCATGTTGTAAAGTTCTCTGTTATTATCTTTTAAAACACTGCATGTTTAATTTTTTTCCTCCTCTCCTATGTTTCCATGTTAGACCTTACATATCTTCCATGTTTCTTTTCTTCTGTATTTTCACTATTTTGTCTCTCTCCACATCATTCTGGTTGTTTCCTTCTAACTTGTGATCATTCACTAACTCTTCGGCTGGGCCTGTTCTGCCGTCAAATCCATCCACCAAGATTCTAATTTCGGTCATGGTAATTTTCAGTTCTAGTATTTCCATATTGTTTATGTAATTTTCAGGTTTTTTTGCCAAAATTCTCATAAGTTTCGTTTGTGTCTGAAAATGCTAATATCTTTCTAATATCTAGAGGTCCTGCAGATCTGTTTAAATGAAAGCTTCTGCTTCTTCTGGTATTCATTCATGTCTTTTGGTGTGGCTACATTTTGTCATATGCTCCAAAAGGTACTTGCAAAACTATTTATAGAATCTATTTTGAGGCCTACTGCATTAACTTTTCTACTGCTGCATAACAGTATTACCACAAATTTAGCATCATAAACAACAGACATTTCTTATCTCATAGGTTCCGTGGATCATGAGTCCAAACACACCTCCACTGAATCTTCTCTTCCAGGGTCTCACAAAGCCAAACCAAGGTGTCAGGCTGAGCTATGATCTCAGCCGAGGTCCCACTAGGAAGGGATCCACTTCCAAGCTCACATAGTTGTAGTATGCAGTTCCCTAAGGGCTACTGCACCAGGGGCCTACTCTTTGCTGTTGGCTCGAGGCCACCCTCAATTGCTTGCCATGTGGCCCTCTAAAGTCCTGTTCACAACAGAGCAGCTTGCTTCTTTGAAATTGAGAGAGAGAAAATAATAATAATAATGATAATAATAATAATAATAGGGGTGCCTGCATGGCTCAGCTGGTTAAGCCTTGAACTCTTGGTTTTGGCTCAGGTCAGGATCTCAGGGTTGTGAGACTGAGCCTCACCTTGGGCTGCATGATCAGCAGGGAGTCTGCCTGGGATTCTCTGTGCTCCTCCCTCCTGCTCACATGCACGTACTCTCCCTAATAAATAAATCTAAAAGGATAAAATAAAATAAAATAAAATAAAGGGAGAGAATTCATTAATAAGATAAACATTATAATCTGATATAACGTAATCATGTCACATTATCACATACATCCCATCATCTTTGTGGTATTCCATTGATTAGAAGCAAATCATAAGTCACACACACACACACAATACCAGGATAGAGGGATCATGGGGGGCCACCTTAGAGTCTGTCCACCACACTTGGATATTAATTTCCTCTTGAGGGAATCTAGATTTGCTTCTGCCAAGCACCTGGGAGGTCTAAATATCCTAGGTAATCTCATTTCCTTACTGAGTTACCTAAAAGTAAATGTGTTTCAACATAATCTAGTTTATTAATTTACAGCAAAACAAAGATTCAAACAAAGAATTACATTTTTAGCCTAGAAAAAACAGACGGTACAAATTTTTCCCATTAAATTATGTTGAAAATCTACTTTTGGAGCTTCTCATAATGAAAAGAAAATTCTATTATTACATAATGGAAATTTATGCCTAAAACACGGGAGTCTAGAAGTTAGCATAGAATTATAAAACTTTCAAAGTAGTTGGTGTTTTGCTAATACCCTCATGTGAAACAGTCTCTTAAATGTTGAATATTCCTACTACTATACATTGTATCGCTCAAATATGCATCGCTAATCTTGAGAAAGAAGAACAAAGCTGAAGTATCACAATCCCAGATTTCAGTATATATTACAAAGCTGTAATAATCAAAACAGTATGGTACTGGTACAAAAATAGACACATAGATCAGTGGAACAGAATAGAGTCCAGAAATAAACCTAAATTATGTGCCCAATTTATCTACAATAAAAGAGGCAAAAATATACAATGAGGAAAAGACAGTCTCTTTCATAAATGGTGCGGGAAGGGGTGCCTGGGTGGCTCAGTCAGTTAAGTGTCTGATTCTTGATTTTGGCTCAAGTCATGATCCAGGATTGTAAGATCCAGCCCCACATTAAGCTCCGCACCAGGTATGAAGGCTGCTTGGCATTCTCTCTATCCCTCTGCCCCTCCCTATTCTCTCTTTCTCTTAAGAAACAAAATAAAACAAAACAAATATATTAAAAAAAAGAAAGAAATGCCTCATATTTAAAAGTAATAATAATAATAAAAATGGTGCTGGGAAAACTGGACAACTACATGCAAAAGAATAAAACCAGACTCTTTCTTACACCATACACAAGCATAAATTCAAAGTGATTAAAGATCTAAATGTGAGACTTGAAACCATAAAACTCCTAGAAGAAAACATAGGCAGTAATCTCTTTGACATTGGCCTCAGCAACATTTTTCCAGATGTATTTCCTTTAGGCAAAGGAAACAAAAACAAAAATAAACTACTAGTTCTACACCAAAATAAAAAGCCTTTGCACAGCAAAGGGAAACATCAGTAGAACAAAAAAGCAAACTACTGAATGGGAGAAGATATTTGTAAATGATATATCCAATAAGGGGTTAATATCCAACAAGTATAAAGAACTTACACAATTCAACACCAAAGAAATGATCCAATTTTTAAAATGGGCAAAAAATACGGGCAGAGAGCCATTTCTCCAAAGAAGACATATAGATGGCTAAGAGACACATGAAAAGCTGCTGAACATCACTCATAATCAGGGAAATGCAAATCAAAACTACAGTGAGGGGGCACCTGGGTGGCTCAGTGGGTTAAGCCGCTGCCTTCGGCTCAGGTCATGATCTCGGGGTCCTGGGATCGAGTCCCGTGTCGGGCTCCCTGCTCAGCAGGGAGCCTGCTTCCCGCCCCCCTCTCTCTGCCTGCCTCTCCATCTACTTGTGATCTCTGTCAAATAAATAAAATAAAATCTTAAAAAAAAAAACCTACAGTGAGATAATACCTTACACTTATCAGAATGGCTAGTAACACAAAGACAAGAAGTGGTAAGTGTTGGCAAGGATGTGGGGGAAAAGGAAACTTCAGGCACTGCCAGTGGAATGTAAATTGATGTAGCCACCATGGATAACAGTATGGAGGTGTCTTTTTTTTTTTAATTTTTATTTATTTATTTGACAGACCGAAATCACAAGTAGACAGAGAGGCAGGTAGAGAGAGAGAGAGAGGAGGAAGCAGGCTCTCCGTGGAGCAGAAAGCCCGATGTGGGGCTTGATCCCAGGACTCCAGGATCATGACCTGAGCCAAAGGCAGATGCTTTAACCCACTGAGCCACCCAGGCACCCTCGAGGTTTATTTTTTTAAAAAATGGGGCACCTGGATGGCTCAGTCATTAAGTGGCTGCCTTTGGCTCAGGTCATGATCCCAGGGTCCTAGGATCGAGACCCACATCAGGCTCCCTGCTGGGCGGGAAGCCTGCTTCACCCTCTCCTGCTCCCCCTGCTTGTATTCCCTCTCTCTCTGTGTCTCTCTCCATCAAATAAATAAATAACATCTTTAAAAAAAATCTTTAAAAAAGTGTAAATACTATATGATCCAGTAATTCCACTAGGGGTATTTACTGAAAGAAAACAAAAACACGAATTCAAAAAGGTATATGCAACCCTGGGGCACCTAGGTGGCTCAGTGGGTTAAAGCCTCTGCCTTCAGCTCAGGTCATGATCCCAGGGTCCTGGGATCGAGCCCCACATCTGACTCTCTGCTCAGAGGGGAGCCTGCTTCCCTTCCTCTCTCTGCCTGCCTCTCTGCTTACTTGTGATCTCTGTCTGTCAAATAAATAAATAAAATCTTTAAAAAGATATATGCAACCCTATGTTTATTGCAGCATTATGTATAATAGCCCAGACATGGAAGAAATGTGTCTATCATAGTAAAAATGTGATGTGTATACACACACACACACAGAGGAATATTACTCAGCCACAAAAAAGGATGGGAGTTTGCCATTTGCAACATGGATGGACCTAGAGGACATTATGCTAAGTGAAATAAGTCAGGGAAAGAGATATACCATACAATTTCACTTATATGTGTAGTTTGAAAAATAAAACAAGTAGAAACAGACCCATAAATATAGAGAATAAACCCATGGTTGCCAGACATGTGCGGAGTGGAGGGAAGGGAAAAGTGAGGAAGAAGAGTAGGCTTCCCGTCATGGAATGAGTGAGTCACAGGATGAGAGATACAGTATAGGGAATATAGTTACCGGTATTGTAACAGCCTTCCACAGTGACAGATGAGGGAGTCACACCTGAGGTGAACATAGCATGATGCATAAACATGTAAAATATAAACTTGTCCAAACACCATGTTGTACACCTGAAACTAATGTAACACGGTATCAACTAAACTTAAAGAGTAAAAAGAAAAACCACAATAAAAAATGGGGCACGTGTGTGGCTCCGTCAGTTAAGAATTTGATTCTTGATCTCAGCTCAGGTGTCAATATCAGGGTTGTGAGTTCAAGCCCCATGTTGGGCTCCATGAAGTGTACTTAAAAAAATAAAAGACTTCGTTCCTAAATAGAAATAACATACTGATGAAACCAGCACACTGGAATTATAGCCTGTGATGCTGATATAAACTTAAAACATTTGAAGAACATTATTTCATTTAAAAAAAAGAAAATCTGAAATTTGTATAAACTTGTGCAATAGATATTGCATCTGTATCAGTTTTTAAACTGATTTGGGGGGCACCTGGCTGGCTCAGTTGGTTGAGCAGCTGACTCTTGGTTTTGGCTCAGGGCATGATCTCAAGGTCCCGGGATCACCTGTGTCAGGCTCCACACGCAACAGAATCTGTTTGTGGATTCTCTCTCTGACCCTCCCCCTATTCATGCTCTCTCTCTCTCTCAAATAAATAAAATATTGACTTGGGAGTAGGACATTATATACATTTGGGAACCTTTTATTGTTACGTGAATAAAGTGACAGGCTTATTCTTAAGATCTGTACCTACGAGATATGCTTTTGAAGTAAGCATCTAAGAAAGTAAAATATATACCACTCTATCCGGGAATAAATTTTAAAATATTATCTACCTATCAACCACCTTTGGCAGACACTAATTGCACCTACCTTAATTCTGTACTCCTTTCTTCCCCCAATTTTTCCCAGGCATATGGTCATCTGGAATAAAAGCTGTATTTTCATCCTTCCTCGCATCCTTCTCCCTCATGGGGGACTGTGACTAAATCTTGGCCAAGAAAATTAAGTGAGGGTGCAACCTTCTCACTCATTGCCCTCTGCCTTGCTGGTTAGTGTTGATGTGAGGAAAAGACTTTGAACAGCAATCTTGGAATGTGAGAGAGAAGCCAAGTGCTGAGGTTGCTAGAGCACCACAGCAGCCTTGTGATACTTACCTCTGAAACCCTGTTAAGTGAGGGGGAAAAAAACCTTTCTTTTTTTAAAGCCACTCGTATTTGGGGTTTTAGTTTTATGCTGCTGTAGTAACCTCAACCAATACACATTGCGGCTGTTGGCATATTACTCCTTTATTAGAAATTGTAAATGAGAAATTATTTCGACACCTGAAGACCAAACTATAACAGATGATTCCATAGGTTCAAGATTTTGAGACATTCTAGAAAGAGTTTTCTGTAAAGTATATCCTTTCCGTGGCATGGCAACATCATTCTTCTTTAAAAAAGTTACTGGACAGACATCGTTTCCACCATCACCTATATAAACAATTCGTGTATAATTCACTCCTTGTTGTAACTGTTTATCTACAAATTCTACCAAAACTACATTTTTGCAAAGATTTTGGGGGCACCTGTTGCAAGAATGGGCATGGTAACTTTCCACAGTGAGATGACCATTGCTATCAAAAGCTGCTGGATTTGTAAACACTTTATCAAACACATCATGAAAACTGGTAGCTTCTAAAACCCAATCTATGAAGACTGAATTTGAATCTGAAATAATGATGCAGTCAAATTTATCCTTGTTCTTTCTTATAAAGTTCAAAAGCTCCACCATCCCTAGAGTGAAAGGC